CGGGGCGCTTGAATGGCGGGGGCTGGAGGCCGAGTCTGTGCGCAGGGGCTGGGCCCGGCGACCCCGGGGTGGCAGCCGGAGCGGGGGCGGGTCCCATCCAGGAGTCAGGCGATTGATTTGCGAAGGTGCGGCCCGTCTTGGGTGGGGCTGGGGCGTGTTTGCTCCAGGTATCCTTTGGGGTCTCAGAAGGTCTCCGTGATGGGGGGGCTCACTGTGGGCTGGAGTGAGGGAGAGCTGGGGTGGTGTGGGGTGGGGGCGTGTACCTGCTAATCCATCGGTGTTTACAAGGGGTGCCCTCCCTGCCTCTGCCAGCCTCGACCCCTCGGCCCCAGCCAGTTCCCTGCCACACCTGTCGGCCACCCTGAAGCCAGAGGCAACAGCCTAGTGTGAGCACGTGGGGGCAGGGCACCCCCGCCAGGCAGCGGTGGGTGGTAGACAGAGACCCAGACGCTACCAACAAGGGCATCAGTCATATGCTCCAAGTGTCCACACAGGGGGGGACCGTCCCCCAAACTTTGAGACCTGCCTCTGGGCCCCACCAGAAGAACTTGGTTGGTGTACGTGGATTCTCACAGCGTGGCCTGGGATCCAGGTTTTCAAAGAAGTGTCTTATCTTGTCCTGGTCATGACAGCCGTGCAGGCCTGCCTAGTAGCCCTTGTGGCCCCTGGGACTCCCCCTCCTGTGCATCAGCGACACGTGGCCATTCAAATCAATATTATTGAAAACGCGGGTAAACACACGCTCTAAGGTGTCTCCCGGGCTGCCCATGCCCTGCATCTGCCCACTTCTCAGGCATGGAAACTGAGGCTCTGGAGGCCTGCCTGGGACCTGCTGCCCGCCAGAGCCACGCCTAGCCCTTCCCACTGACCTGAGCTGCCCGGCCTGAGCCATGTCCCGTGGAGATTGCTCTGGGAGGACTCCTGTCTGCTTGGCCCGACCTTGACCTCTGGTAGTGTTGGGGGATTCTCCCCCAGCCAGGGCTGGGATCCGGTGTTCTTCCCAGGGGCATGGGGGCTGGGCAGTGTGGCCTTGCCCAAGAACCGACCCTGGTGTGGCTCAGGCACCCTGTCCTGGGCCGTGCAAATCAAAGGGTCATTGTCTGGGCTGGCGTGGGTCGGGGCCTCCCCGGGGAAGCCGAGGCAGCTGCCAGCAGTCCCTGCTCCCCAGCATGGCATCCCTCCCCCCCCAGAAGCCCTAGTGCTGAGTGACCTCATCAAGTGACTGTCTTCCCCCACCCCCCTGGGAATCCCCTTCCCCCGGAACCAGACTTGGATCCCCATGTTTCTTTCAGTCTCCCTTCTGTCCTCCCTGGCCAGGCCCCCCAAGTCCTGCCCACGCCCCCCGCCCCACACTGCTCACTCCTGCCCTAAGGCCCCTCTCCAGCTCCAGCACCTGCCATGACTCCCCTGGGCTCCTCCATCCCCCGCCCCCCAGCACAGCAGGTCAGCAGGGTGACCCGGTAGGGGGTGAGGGGGTGGTCAGGGCTGTGATGGAGGCTGACCCTGGCTCTGGGTCAGATGGTGGAGGACTTTTCAGAGAAGGAGACATGGAGTTGGACCCTGGCAACTGAGGGGCTTTGGGCTCCAAGGAGTTGGGGCCCACGCCCTATCCACAGCCCCCTAAGACACCCCGGTCCCAGGTGCTGGACCCTGTGGCTCTACCCGCATGTGCCCCAGGGACTCGACAATGGGGTTTTAGCCTGGATCCTCAGGGCCCGCACTTGGCCCTGTGATTCCTGCAGCCCCAGACAGGCGAGCTGCAGCACCCCCGGGGCTGCCCACCCCATCCTCCCTCCCAAAGTGCCATTGTCTGAGTTTGAACTGCCAGCCCAGAGGGCCAGCAAGGGGCCGCCCCGGGAGTGCCCTTCTCCCTGTGGTCAGAGGGAGGCTGGTGAGCCAGGCTGGCCCAGCCCAGTCCCTGGCTTTCAGGATGCAGGAAGGGGCTTCGAGCCAAGGAATGCAGAGGCCTCTGCCCGCTGGAGAGACAATGAAGCAGTCAGTCAGCTGGCCCAGGCGGGACCAGCCCTGCAGATACGGGAGGACCCACCCAAGAGGCAGGCCTTGGGCTCCAGACCCATCGGCAAGGACAAACATCTGTAGGCAAAGAGGACGCCAGCCAGACCCGCCAGGGCCGCCCTGGGAGGGCACAGAGCTGAGGGCATGGTCACATGGCCAGAGTGAAGGGTGACAGAGCCTGGCTGAAGACAAGCAGAGATGTGAACGGCGCCCAGCCTGGCGCAATGGCCAGGGAGGAAAGATGTAGGTACATCGCAAGTCCCTCCGGCTGGTGCCCCAGCCCTGGGCTGGGAGGCAGAAATGCAGTCCGGTGCTCAGGCCTGGACCTCAGGCCCTGCTGCCTCAGTTTCCTCATCATGGGGACAGGGAGGGGCGCCTTTTCTTGCTGTGGGGGAGCCGGGTTGACCCTGGGGGACAGGACCCCCGGGGTCCGATCCTGGGGGTGGGAGGCTGCAGATGTGTAAGGAAGCAGCCAGCTGGGTCTTTATCCCGAGGGAGCCCCTGGGGAAACCTGTGGGGCCACCGAGAGTGGACTGACAGCAAGCTCGGGTTCTTTGTTTAGGCTTTGGAGTAAAAGAGTGAGATTCGCAGGGTTGACAAGGATATGCAGAGGCCGGGAGCCTAGTGCATTGCCTGGGGGGGGAGGGGAGCTTGGCACAGCAAACTGGCACAGAGGCCCAGCAGCTGCCCAAAGAGACCGGCGCTTCCTCAACCCGTAACCATGGACCGATGGTGTGCGTTGGCAGGTCCACCCCAGCTGTGCACCGTGCACGAGGAGTGACAGTTCCTTGCCCACCGGTGTCCACTGCCGCCCTCTTCACAGGAGCAAAATGGGGGAACAAACCCCATGTCCACCTCCCACATGGTGCAATGTGGGTGGTACCGCGTGCCGCCAAGGTGCTTCCATCTCATAGCGACCTGATGTACCACGGAGCCGAACCCCTCCCGGCCCTGCGACGCCCTCACAAGAGTGATGCCGGAGCCCCGGGTTTCAGCCCCCTGTCAGGCCATCCACCGAGAGCCTTCCTCTTTCCCCTCCCCCCCACTTGGCGAGGCGTGATGGTGTCCTTCTCCAGGGACGGGTCTCTGCAGACAATAGGTCCGGAGTACGTCGGACAGTCTCACCCTCCTTGGCTGCAAGGAGCACTCTGGGCTCACGGCTTCCGACACTGCTCTGCGTGTCCTTTTGAGAGTCCGAGGGGCTGTGAGCTCTTTGATCCATCTGTGGCCTTTTCCTCAGTCCATGTCCGACCCCCACGTGCTTCTGAGGCAGCTGACAGCACCCCAGCTTGGGCGTGGGCGAGGCATGCCACAGTCCTCCGAGTGACAGCTTTGCTTTCCAACCTGCAGAGGTCATGTGCGGCGGGTGTCCCTAATGCAACGTGCCACGTCATCTCTTGATGCTGCTCCCGTGAGCACTGATTGTGGATCCAAGCAAGACAAAGTCCTGACAGCTTCGAGCTTTCTCTGCTTTTCACATTGCCTCTTGGGCCAGTGGTGCGGGTTTGGGTCTTTCTGTTGAGCTGTCCTCCACACTGAAGGGTGCAGTCCTTGATCTTCATCAGCAAGGGCTTCGAGCCCAACACATTCCACTGATTGGTTTCTCGATGGCCGATCCCAGGAGTGGTGCTCGTGGATGCAAGCAGGATGCAACGATGACGCTGCCGTCACAAGGACGGACAAAATGTGCATTGATCCCACCGAGTGGACCGACCCTGGAAACACAGTGCTGGGTCCCAGGAACGGGCACAGAAGGACAAGGACAAGTTGATCTCATGGACACGAATCATCGAAGGCAGGTGAGGCCGTAGAGACCAAAGGGTGGACCAAAGTGGTTGACACTGGTAGAGGGACGAGAATGAGGAGTTATTGCTTAAACATGCACACACACCCCCAGCACCTTCATCAGTCACCACCACCATCACCACCATTGTCATCATTACCTCCGCCATCATCAGTCACCTTCATCAGTCACCACCACCATCACCACCATTGTCATCATTACCTCCGCCATCATCAGTCACCACCACCGTCATCACCACTACCACCACCGTCAGTCATCACAACATCAATCACCACCACCA